ACCAATCCTGGAGTATGCAGCCCCAGCATGGAGTCCATATCTAGTCAAGCATAAGACTAAACTGGAAAAAGTTCAAAGGTTTGCCACCAGACTAGTACCCGGGCTGAGAGGTATGAGCTACGAGGAGAGACTACTGGAATTAAACCTCACATCGCTAAAAGACAGAAGAGTTAGGGGATATGATCAGCACGTACAAGATTCTCAGAGAAATTGACAGGGTAGATAAAGACAGGCTATTTAACACGAGGGGCACACGCATTAGGGGACACAGATGGAAACTGAGTGCCCAAATGAGTCACAGAGATATTAGAAAGAATTTTTTTAGTGTCAGAGTGGTTGACAAATGGAATGCATTAGGAAGTGATGTGGGGAAGGCTGACTCCATACGCAGTTTCAAATGTAGATATGATAGAGCCCAGTAGGCTCAGGAACCTGTACACCAGTTGAGAGGCGGGACCAAAGAGCCAACGCTCAACCCCCGCAAGCACAAATAGGTGAGTACACACACACACGCACGCAGGAGGGAAGGGGGAAAGGGAACTATCAGGGGCAAGGGTGAACAGTAAAGGAACAGTACTCAGGGAGAAAGCTCAAAGCCATTGCGACTATATAGCACTGGGAAGGGGTCAGGATAAGGATTTGGGATGGGACGGAGGAAAGGAATGGTGGCTCAAGCACTTGTGGACAGTCGGGGATTGAACGCCGACCCTTCAAAAAGCGAGACCATCGCTCTACCGTCCAGACCAACTCCGAAATAGATGCAACAGAGCTAATAACGAATACATAAAAATAAGAAGAATATTTGAAAGGACACTACGTAAAAGGTAGATATGATAGTGAAATAGATCAGTCATTGTGCTAGACAACCGGCTGCTAGAGGTGGGGTCCAAAAGCTAAAGCTCGATACTGCAGGTACAAATAGACGAGTAGAAATAGGCGAGTACACATAAGTTATGAGAAACGGGGGAGGAGCTTCCAGGTCTCTGGCATTTATGAGTGGCAGGTAATAATATGGGGAGTGGCCAGGGAGGGTGAGGTGACGGCTCGTGTACTCACCTATTTGTGCCTGCAGGATCGAGGATTGCCTCTTGGATCCCGCCTTTCGAGCCATCAGTTGTTTACAGCAATGACTCCGGTCCCATTTCCCTATCATATCTAGTTTAAAATTATGAACATAATTTGCTTCCACAATCTGCTTCAGTGCATTCCATTTTCCCACTACTCTCACGCTAAAAGAAAACTTCCTAACATCTCTTTGACTCATCTCAGTTTCCAGCTTCCACCCATGTTCCCTTGTTCTGTTACTATTCCGTGTGAACATTTCATTTATTTCCACTCTGTCAATTCCCCTGAGTATTTTGTACGTTCCTATCATATCCCCCCCTCTCCCTTCGTTTTTCTAGTTTCGTAAGGTTCAGTTCCTTCAGGCGCTCTTCATACTCCATCCCTCGTAACGCTAGGACGAGTCTTGTTGCAAACTTCTGAACCTTTTCCAGTTTCCTTATGTGTTTCTTCAGGTGGGGACTCCATGATGGGGCGGCATACTCTAAGACTGGTCTCACGTAGGCAGTGTAAAGCGCCCTAAATGCCTTCTTACTTAGGTTTCTGAATGATGTTCTAACTTTTGCCAGTGTAGAGTACGCTGCTGTCGTTATCCTCTTTATATGTGCTTCAGGAGTTAGATTAGGTGTTACGTCTACGCCCAGGTCTCTTTCTCGCGTCGTCACAGGTAGGCAGTCCCCCTTTATTGTGTACTATCCCTTTGGTCTCCTGTCACCTAATCCCATTTCCATAACTTTACATTTGCTTGTGTTGAGCTCCAGGAGCCATTTCTCTGACCATCTCTGCAACCTGTTCAAGTCCTCTTGGAGGATCCTACAATCCTCATCTGTCACAACTCTTCACATCAACTTTGCATGATCCGCGAACATCGACATGTAGGACTCTACTCCTGTAAACATGTCTTTAACATATATTAGAAATAGAATTGATCGCAGCATCAATTCTTGAGGTTCAATCCCCGGCCCGAGTGTGTGTGTGTACTCACCTAGTTGTGCTTGCAGGGGTTGAGCTCTTGCTCTTTGGTCCCGCCTCTCAACCGTCAATCAACTGATGTACAGATTCCTGAGCCTACTGGGCTCTATCATATTTACATTTGAAACTGTGCATGAAGTCTGCTTCCACCACATCACTGTCTAATGCATTCCATTTGTCAACTACTCTGATACTGAAAAAGTTCTTTCTCACGTCCCTGTGGCTCATTTGGGTGCTCAGTTTCCACCTGTGTCCCCTTGTTCACGTACTACCCGTGTTAAAAAGTTTATCCTTATCTACCCCTGTCAATTCCTCTGAGAATTTTGTAGGTAGTGATCATGTCTCCCCTTACTCATTTGTCTTCCAGTGTCGTGAGGTGCATCTCACGCAGCCTTTCTTCGCAACTCATGCCTCTTACTTCTGGGACTAGCCTAATAGCATACCTCTGAACGTTTTCCAGCTTTGTCTTGTGCTTGACAAGGTACGGGCTCCATGCTGCAGCCGCATGGAGAGTGTGTGTGTGTGTGTGTGTGTGTGCTTACGAATGATTGAGTGGTGGGCGTAGGCAGACTCACACTCCCTATGATAACAAATAGGTAGAACTAACAAACAGGAGAGAGACGGCAGCAAGGGGTGACTATGCAGTGTTTACAAAGACAAAACACCTTATTCTTTAAGCAAGTTTAAACACCTTCCAGCGAGACAATATGAGAAAGAAAGGGATCTATCCGAGAGAACGCCCCCAAACCATTACGACTACATAGCACTGGGAAGGGATCAGAATAAGTATTTGGGATGTGATGGGGGGGGGGGGGGGGGACAAGGAATGGTGGCCCAGCCACTTGGATGGTCGAGGATTGAACGCCGACCTGCATGAAGCGTGGTATTAATGAGGAGGGCGGGAAGTATGGGGACATCCCTCACAGCCTGCACCACACACGCCTACACACTCCCCCCTGGCCCAGGAAGCCTCCACCCCTTTCATGACCTCACGTCCGCTGTTGACCCCCGACAGCACAACAAATCAGAATAGAACAGTACTAAATCGAAGGGTATTGAAGCCTCCACGACTCTCGCGAGGGCGTTACAGCGCCCAGTGTTAATGATAGAGATGAAGAGTGGTGGTGAAGGGGGAGGTAACTGGACATTGATGGGTAGTGCCCCCATCCTGACCCGCTTGTATAAAACACTGCTTCGACCCACATGATGTTCCCTGGCAGCCAGCGGGCACTGCTGCACCCCGGACACTGGGAGCCGTGTCTACATACCTCCACTCTGGACTCTGGTGAGAACTGTGAGACGGAATTCGAGGCAGTATTACGTTAAAGCTTGCTGCACATAGATGCTAGTGGACTTGTGTGACCCTTCTGTTGCTCTACCAGCCTCAGACGTGTTCTAAAGTGTGTCGGGAAGAGTGCAGGTTGGAAGGTGGTGTCAAGAAGAGTGCAGGTTGGAAGGTGGTGTCAAGAAGAGTGCAGGTTGGAAGGTGGTGTCAAGAAGAGTGCAGGTTGGAAGGTAAAGTCGACGCAGAGAGCCTGCTAGTAGGAAGGACCAGGACGGGTTGACCGGATCACTACTCACATGCACGTTGAAGTCACCCTACAGCCAGTCATCGGAGATCGTGACCCTGTTGAATGCGTCTCTATTAATTCACTTTTAATGGCACGAAAAGTTCGTGTTCTTTCAGCCATATTCCTGGGTCGTCTGTTCTTAGGGGTGACATTACAATTATATTGATTTATCTAAATATTTGGTAATTAAACAAAACCTGTTCTATAATTGAGGACTAACGTATAATTACAGCTGTTTATGGCTCATACGAGTATTGAATATTCCATCATTCAATAATGGAATATTTAATGGTATTGAATTTACAGTATTGAACGCTTGTGAGAGGATGGGATGTTCTGGGTATGGCTGAAGAACAGGCTAAGGGCATTATATAGTTTAACTTGCACATACATATAACAGTAAATAGGTACCTGGGAGTTAGACAGCTGCTACTGTGTAACAAAAAGGAGGCGACCGGGCCGCGGGGACGCTAAGCCCCGAAATCATCTCAAGATATACTCTGAAGATTGCTATCTACACAATATAGACAATAAATTCGTAGATGCCTCTGCTATCTTACGAGATATCCTTAGCAGAAAAAAGCTAATTATCTCAACTTCGCCATCTTGATAAGTTCTGTACAGCACAGCCTTCTTGACTACGTTTCTTGGCCTTCTTGCACAGCTACACCAAGACGCGCGCATGCCTACCCTAAAACACCAGTTTTGGTGTCCTTGAGGGTGTAAATGTTATCCTGGTGACCTTTCAACCTGTGGCACCGAGGCCAAAGGTGACGAAAATAAATATATAACCCCGTGGAGGCCAAACTGCAAGGGAAGGGAAGGGAATTGTCGGGAAAGCGCCAAGCCATGACGACTATATAGCACTGGGAAGGGATAAGGATATGGGATGGGACGGGGAGGAAAGGAATGATGTCAACCACTTGGACGGTCGGGTATTGAACGCCGACCGTCATAATCTTGCGGTGGTGACGAGACAATGTCCAGGCATCTAGTGCAAATGTTTCTTCCTTGCAAAGATGAATCTTTACCTCTTTATAAATTATTTATTCCGGTGTTTAGCACTAGGCCTACATTTAATCACGTGCATATTGTATTATTCAAATAAATTAGGAACGGGAACATTCATAAAAATATAGAAAATCTATATTGCGTTATTTTAATGTAATCATAAAATGTTGCCACCGCTCTCTGTGACAGAGAACGCTGTCACCGCTCTCTGTGACAGAGAATGCTGTCACCGCTCTCTGTGACAGAGAACGCTGTCACCGCTCTCTGTGACAGAGAACGCTGTCACCGCTCTCTGTGACAGAGAACGCACCTTGGCAGAGAACTCTTCGTCAGGAAAGGTTACCTCAAGAGGCAAAGGACTAACCTAAACGTCTCCTCCAGCAGGTTACTCGCCACCGTCGTGCGGGAAGTGCAAAGTCACCAAACGCCGCCTCAAACTACGGAAATACTGCCGCCGAGACTATGGTAAGAGGCGCTTCAGTAGAGACGCGAGAGGCTCTAGACCCGTGCTCTATGTTGCTGGGGGAAGGAGTGGATGGTGGTGGTGGTTGGTGGTGGTGGTTGGTGGAGGTGGTGATGGATGTTGGTGGGGATCGCGTAAGATTAATGTGTTGTGGTGAAGATGTTCTCTGATAGGTATGGGGGATTGTTTTTGGAGGGTTACAGTATAGGGAATAAGGGTGCTAAAGTGATCGCGGAGGAGTGATGGGTTTAGGGTGAGTGTGGAGGTGTAGTGTGAGTGTGCAGGTGTGAGGATGAGTGTGGAGGTGTAGTGTGAGTGTGCAGGTGTGAGGGTGAGTGTGGAGGTGTGAGGGTGAGTGTAGAAGTTGAGGGTGAGTGTGGGGGTGGAGGGTGAGTGTGGAGGTGTGAGGGTGAGTGTGGAGGTGTGAGGGTGAGTGCAGAGGTGTGAGTGTGGAGGGTGAGAGTGTGAGGTGTGAGGGTGTGAGGGTGAGTGTGAGGTGTGAGGGTGTGTGTGGAGGTGTGAGGGTGAGTGTGGGGGTGTGAGGGTGAGTGTGGGGGTGTGAGGGTGAGTGTGGGGGTGTGAGGGTGAGTGCAGAGGTGTGAGGTGAGTGCGGAGGTGTGAGTATGGAGGTTGTGAGGGTGAGTGTGGAGGTTGTGAGGGTGAGTGTGGAGGTTGTGAGGGTGAGTGTGGAGGTTGTGAGGGTGAGTGTGGAGGTTGTGAGGGTGAGTGTGGAGGTTGTGAGGGTGAGTATGGAGGTTGTGAGGGTGAGTATGGAGGTTGTGAGGGTGAGTGTGGAGGTGTGAGGGTGAGTGTGGAGGTTGTGAGGGTGAGTGTGGAGGTGTGAGGGTGAGTGTGGAGGTTGTGAGGGTGAGTGTGGAGGTTGTGAGGGTGAGTGTGGAGGTGTGAGGGTGAGTGTGGAGGTGTGAGGGTGAGTGTGGAGGTGTGAGGGCGAGTGTGAGTGTGGAGGTGTGAGGGTGAGTGTGTAGTGTGAGGGTGAAGGAGTGTGACCAGAGACCAACACTCGGGTTATCTCTTCAGCACTGGTGGCGCGGGTGTTCAACAAGGAGGTACTGGGCGAGTACACCCGGTTCGACATCCAGGTGACCAACGTGTTCAAGAGGACCCGGTCTGATCGGGTGAGGCGAGGCGGAGACCAGCTCTGGGTGAGGAACGAAGACCTCACTTGCAAGTGTCCAGACATCAAGATGGGCTAGTGAGTATCCCAGCCCCTCGCTGGACCTCTACACCCACCTGCAGTACTCTATAGGTCATCCAACCACTTGGGCTGGACGGTAGAGCGACGGTCTCGCTTCATGCAGGGACGGCGTTCAATCCCTGACCATCCAAGTGGTTGGGCCACTATTCCTTTCTTCCCCGTCCCATCCCGAATCCTATATTCGTATATATATCTACGTAGTCTCAGCTCGAATAAGGTGTCTATCAGTATCTATCGCAGTTGGATTTGAATAGGGATCTTTATGAAGTAAAGTGTGTGGGCAAAGACACGGACACACACACACACACACACACTAGAGCATTATATCTTACTCAGATAAAAAACTGAACCATTTAGAGATAAATCTAAATTTATTAAGATTTCCATTTACTGCAGCTATTTTCCTCAAGCTGCAGGAAATGTCATAACATGTTATTACTAAGGATAAAATCTCTGAAATCCTTGTACTATGCCCAAGTCTCGCTTCCAGTAGATAAACGACATATGAAATTAAGAAGCAAGTAGTGTATTGTGAAGACTAACAGTGACAAACAGCAGCTCCCCAGTGACTCTGTAAAACCTCCATAGCTAAAACAGTTATGTATTAGCGAAAAGGCCTACCACTAATTATGATTAACTTTAAATACATTCCTTTTGAAATGGAAGATTCTCTCTAACTAGCTGACATTATAAAGTATGCAGGATAGATGTAAATGTTAATACAATAATATCCGTTGAGGTCTGATAAAGATCTTTTGTGCCCTCTGTAATCCTTTTTTGCGCTACTGCTCACAGGATGAGTATGGGGTGCACTACACTCAATCATTTGTCCAAATGGATTTAAATATTGAAGCATCATCAGCCTTCTTGTATTAAAGAATTTATATTATTTTGACTAATGTGGTGTTATATGTTCCGTAGCGAGTACTTGATCCTCGGGAGGAAGGAGCGGAAGCAGCGACCAGGTCTAGTCATCAACCGCCAGTCAATCATCATCCGCTGGCGCAATAACAAGCAACTGCGCATGCGCCGCTTCCTGAAGAAGGCCGCGAAGAAGTGTCGGCCGTCGAGGTACTGAGCAACTCGCCGTCGGCCACACCACCGTGCAGGCGACGCTGCTCGGGGCCCAAGTTCCTCCTCCTGAGGAGGAGGACCGCGGGAGTTGTGATCAGAACTGTTGCTTATTATGCAAGTACATAATAGGAACAAGTGCAATGGTTCGACGCGAGGATGAGGAACGGCGTCGAGTTACGCGGGTGAGGGGAGGTGGGGTCGCGAATGAAGGGAGGTGGGGTCACGAATTAGGGGTACACAGGGAATATCAATGTAGCCATAGTCTCTTTGGAGGGGGGGGGGAGAAGGGGGATTATTGTCATGTCCGTACTTTATGGTGGGGGGGGGGGGAAGGGGGGAATGTAATTTTTAAAAAGCTGTAAAAGCCGAGCCCAAGAGAGTGAATATTAGCAGCAAGTCGTACTGTTCATCACCACTCTCTAAGCTTAACACGTAGAGTAGCGCAGCGCCGGAGCTGCCCCAAGAACTGACTGGGTTGTGTCGATGTTCACTTGTGTCACTAATATTTGTTCCAATTCTTAACGGCAAGGTAGTCATTATTATTATATATACTGCTTCATGCTCTCTTACTGTGTATTTTTTTTTCCTCAATAGTGTACATAACAGATCACATTTATGTGTGTTCATTAAATGAATCTTGTTCATATTAACAGAAAAAGTATATATATCCTGTTAGATTTAGTAGAGTCGATGCGTGCCCTCACTAAACACACCTACAAGAGCCACAACTAGACCCCGAGGGAGACGACCATCACCTGCTGGCCTCAACGCTACCAACAGACCTAAAAATCTGTTGCCGTTTGAATTCTATTGAAATCTTTTGTAAAAAAATTAATGTTATGGGCCAGCAATGAGGCGTGATGTTGATGGCGCGGAGTGTTTCTTAAGGGGGCGTGCGTTTGACAGTGGGGGATTCGAACACAGGGTCGTTTAGTTGACACCTTGACGGGAACCAACTCACCTGTCAAGGAGTTGACAGCGGTGACCCGAACACGGGGTCGTTTAGTTGACACCTTGACGGGAACCAACTCACCTGTCAAGGAGTTGACAGCGGTGACCCGAACACGGGGTCGTTTAGTTGATACCTTGACGGGAACCAACTCGCCTGTCAAGGAGTTGACAGCGGTGACCTGAACATGGGGTCGTTTGGTTATTACCTTGACGGGAATCAACCTTACCCGTCACACAAGTTCCTAATTTGACTAGAGCCGTTTGCGAATGATTGTTTTGAGTGGGATCTAAGTACAGACTTCATATTCAATAAGAGTCTTTGATCCCACTCAATTGATATTGCGAGCGGCAGTACTACCACTTACGTTCCGCTTGGTGAGTCTTGGACAGAACAGGGCAGACGGGGTCATATATTTGAGAGAATTAAAGGTTCCCTTAAATTTCGCAAAATAAATTTCAAATAATGTGCGTCTTTAAACAGGCGAGATAGTTTTTTTTTTTTACAATTACATTACTGAGATTAAAATTGAATCGTTACCTTGTTGTTCTAACTGAAAAAAAGTTACCAAAAAGATCTGAACCTGTTCTACCTAGTGCTGGCAGAGGTGTCCAGGACTGACGGTGGAATATTGTAGAATGTTAGAGTAACGCTGTACATGTTGGCGTCTGTGTGGGTACTTAACACACACACCTCTCCTGCTGCTTCACGGGCACAATAGCTCTACTCTGTACTAGAGACATGCACCTCGGTCCACCCTCCACCAGCACCGCCCCTCTCACCGGCTGGCGCAGCTCTGGTCAACGCCTTCTCTTCCCTGATACTAGTTTTCTGCATAAACTTTTTATCAAGGTGAGGCATGTTTTTGTATGCAGTTATTACCTGTTTTAACAACTGCGAGGCTTCATGGGGCTCGGTACTGTGAGTGACGGTGCTGGAGGAACCCCACACCGTTGGTGCACCTCCTCACTCTCATCTTCATAGTTGACTTTATGTACAAATTGTTCCGTGTAATTAATTTTTTTTTATTTAAACTTGAATATTTTGCCCATTAGTGTGTATGCCGATAGTGAGTGAGGTAATGATCTGTGCTGAACTTAGATCCTCGGAGACAAGTATTGTTGTTCTTGTGATATTTTAGGAATTGTGTGTCTTCAACGCTTTTTTTGCTGTCTTAATAAGGCAATAACATCTACGTGAAAAACACGCTGGTTAACGGAACGAAGACTGTTGGCTGCGTGTGGTCCTATGATGACTCCTACAGGGATCCATTCAATGGTCCTGTGATAAATCATACAGGCATTCGTCCTATTGTCCTCTGATGATTTCTGGGGCGATTCTGTGGGCTTGTGATGAATGAATGTTACTATGATTCATCCTGTGATGAATCATTGGGTCCTGTGATAAATCTAAAGTGATTATATGGTCCCGTGAGGAATCCAACACGCCGATTCATTCTATCGCAGTCTTTGATACCGTAGGACCCTCTGCTCTATCAAACTATTTCAATAACTTATCAGCTACGCACAATTTCAAACGTTTTTTGTAGCAAGAGAATTACTGTGAGCAACGGAGGCGCTGAGAGCTTCACTAAGAACACACTAAGTCATATCTATTGTTTCGTATTGATGTTTCAGGTGTTTACCTGTCTCTCCTGAGCAGTCTGCATCTCTCGCTTGTTTTCAGATAAATTTTGTGGAAGTTTATTGCAGGAATGAGATTAAAAGATACATTATTTGTAAATATTGTACGATGTCGGCTATTGCTTGAATAACGCGAGGTCCCAGCATGGGAACTCTGCTTAAGTTATTTGCTATTAATGTTGACATTTTTGAGTAAATATTAATTGTTCGTTTAAGAACGTGTGCGAGAAAATTTAAATGATCAACCATTATGTGTAATGTTAAATACATTGACGTTAAAGATCACGAAAAACACTTCTGTAGCCACGTCAAACCATCACAAGGATGTTGGTATCCTGGGCTGTGGGTGAAGCGGGGTCGGGCAGCTAGAGTCCAACCGTCGCTCAAGCCTTGTGAACTAAATGTTCACGCAAGCATTTCAGGGAGAGTTGTCATGTACGAGATTCCACCTTGGTTACCAGATATGAACTTTTCCGTAACATAGCTAATGACATGGAATTCCGGTGCATTATCCCCGAGGTGGATAATGCGGCGTGCGTGACATCAGAGGCTTAAGAATCGGCTCTCACTAAACTTTATCCTCATAGTGCAAAACACAACAGAAGTTTAAGAATTGCCCACGAATCCCAGGAATTATTTATCTTTCAATTTGTCAATGGAAAACCTACAAAGTTGTATCACAGAGGGAGGTCCAAAGCCAGTCTCACAGTTGTCACGACTCATCATCATCATTATCGCAAACGTTGCGAATTGTAAAGTAATTAAGATTTTAACATACATAAGAGGGAAGAGGTGATGCTGATCTGCTTGGGTAGGTTGTCTGTAAACTTGTGAGTAGCAGCTGTTGACTGCTTTATAAATTTTGAACACATCAGATTTTGCTGGTGTGTCCTTGACTTACACAAGTTGAACATCAAACGATTGTGTTAACCACTCTTCGCGAGCCCTCGCGCTAAACAGTCATAAGTATTAACCGAGAGAGTTTAATGTTACATTTAACATTTCATTCTGGCATAAGTGACCAAAAGAAAAGTATTGCCCTGACAGATTACGATTAAAATAAAACAGCAATAATTTCGCAGTAATGGTTGTGTTGAGGGTCATCACTCTGTGACCTGTGGGTCACTAAAGTGATCCCAGGGACATTATTCGCTGACCTATAAACTGTACATGTTATCCTCAAGAAAAAAAATTTGATCAAGGTCGTGGACTTCACTAGCATAATTTAATTTATACCTCAGATGAAATACAATCAAGTAGAGTGTATGGATTTTTGCACTGTAGATGAATTCAGTAAGTTGTAACTTGCGTTTGTATTTAAAATTTTATGTAATTGATGTTCAAATTAGAAATTACTTAAGATGTTAACAGGCGTGCGTATTGGTTTCGAGGGCGAGCTCTGGCGATCGTATAGGCACTGAGACCCCGAGTGCTGGTCTCGTCACTGGCACCTGGCACTGGCGCCTGGCACCGGCGCCAGCTTGTCTATTTCTACATTTGCCCTCATTGACTAACTCGACACTTACGGACAATAACCATTTCTGCATTGACATTCATTGACTCGAGATATGTAGCCAGTTTTATATGATTAAAACTGTTCTTTAAATTTGGGGGCGAGTTTACTGGGTCTAATATCTTATCTTCGGCTGGGATTTGGAAACTGTAGATGTTAGAATGAGGCAAATGCAGGAATATGAATTAATGGGCAAAATGCTGTATGCTGGTTGGGAGACCAAGCTCCCGGGTCCCGCCTCAAAGATGGTCGGGGCTCCTAACTATTTGTCCATGAGACTCCTATTTTTTTATTTTTGCCACTGTACAGTTTATTTCTAAGACTGATGTATATTTGCATATTTCTGTATGTGTAAAAATCACTTCTGCATAATATGGTTTTTATGTTGTGCCAAACAATTTCTTGACAGTAAACTAGGGATTTGGGTGCTGTGTTCAGAGTAAGGTCGGTCTCTCACAATAAATGTTGTCACTACCTCGCGGGCTCATTCCTCGCTGCTTATTCCTCGTTACTTACTCTTCAGTGTCCACTCCATATCGATTGCTTTTAAGATCAATGTCCGCTACTACGATCCGATGTGACCGCGTTCACTATAGTGTTTGCTGGTGGATGAGACCAATAGGATGGTTGAAGTGGGTGCCGAGGTCAGTGACGAGGACCGTAGCGAGGACGACCAGTGAATAGGTGTCTAGGGAGGGAGTGACTGACCTTCCTCAGAATACTAACTCAACTGTTTCCAGGTGTTTGTGTTGTGACTATTCTCGGCGACAGCAGCAACCCAACGCTAATTTAGATTCACTTTGTTAAAGACTTTAATGACATTTCTAAATGAATATTGAATGATAGCAGAGCTCCGTTCTGCTGTTCGCCTCGGGCAGCGACGTCTTATCCAAATGAGACTTAAGTGGAGGCTAATGTGAAATGTTTTATTTCTCTTGCACTGAGGCTACTGTAACCAGGGTGGTCGTTGGCCCGCGGTCACAGCACAAACTATAGCGGCGGGTTCCTCACTCTACACATCACTACATCATGCTCTTATATACATGGAAATTACATTATTTAAAGCGCTTTAACTCACGAGTTGGTGTGGAGGGAGGACGGAAGACTAGCAAGGGTTCCCGCCGCGTGTGGCAGTACTGCATATCAGGAGG